TGGGGGGTCGTCTCATTGTTGATCCTCTAGTGACCTTGTTGTTGTTTGTTCCATCAACACCTGAAGCTGATGAACAGCCCCTCTGCTGCTCACCTGACCGACAAGAAGCTTATTCTGCTTCTACTTCTTACATCTCTCACTCTCACCAGTAGAGTGGTTACCATGGCGACGCACGCTAGCATCCGCCTGTTGCCAGGGCTGTTTATGAGAACCCCCCGTGACGCATGACCGTCGTGTGTGTGTTTAAACCTGCAGTGCGACCACAAGGTGGAGCTAGAGGACCTTTGAGAGGTCATCAGGGTGGAGACAAACAGAAAGATAAGTGTGTGTGTCTCAAAGGCTGCGTCCTTGTAGCCTGCAGCCTTCAGCAGTCTTCTGGTCTACCTGGTCTGGTCCTCCAACAACTGCGTAGGCTGAACCGAGCGGCCTCTGAGATGGGACGGTCTGTCCTACGGGGGACTTCCTGCTTGCGTCATCTAAAAGTTGAAAGAATCAACCAACTGTCCTCTTCATTTTGATACCAGGCACAAGTGACGAATGTGCAAGAACTTTAATGGATTTGCTCCACCATTGTTAGAAAACGTTTCACTCAACGCCGGTAAAATCATCGAACATGACGTTCATTAAACGCTTGCAGAGTTGACACATACAAGTCTTCAAGTTATATAGTCTAAGGTGACAAACATCTCTGTCCTTGGGGGAGGTGTGGGGGTGCTGGATCAGCTCCTACTGGTCACCTCCACATTAAAAGGGGGGACAGGATTGTCATGCATGATTAAAGGAGACGTAAGAGACACCTAGTCAATAAAATATTACACTACAATACTCCTGTACTTATTTATGCATCCATTTAATTATACTTAAGTCATTCTTGGTCCTCCATAGGACAGGATCCCCGTGGGAAATATATTCCCAATTGCATGGCACCATCCAAACGTCAAAGTATTCCATGAGATCAAATGAGGAGCTGACCGAGGAACCGAAACACTGACAAAAGAGCCAAAAGCAAGGAGATGTTCCACCTGCAGGTGCAAACCACTGTGTCCTGTATCTCCTCCTCATCCTTTATGTGCGGTCGGCTCGTGTTGATCGTACTTACAGAGCTCACACTGACTCGCTGAGCAGCTCCAGCAGGGGGCGCCTTGTCCCTGTGCTCACACGTCATTGAGACAATGATGGAACGAGAACATCTGGAGGAGCAAGTGCTGTACGAAGAACATATCTCACACATAAGAAACACACGACTCTTGCTGGTAGGACACGTTCATCATTTTGTGTCTTCTCTTGAGATTAGTTTGTCAAGAAGACATTTGTAAAATAACGCCTCCATAATTCTCCCAATTTACCAGGATGGAGACCAGGCTCATGACAGTTTATTGCCTGAATGAAGTCCCTCAGCAGAAGATACAAACAATAGAAGACAATATGGAGCTGTGAACATCCTTTCTGCTGGTTAGACGATGCAGAGAAGTTTCATTTAGTTGAAGCGTGTTCTACGTGCAGGCAGGACCATCTCACCTGTCACTGCAAACGCTGGTGTTTCAGTCAAGGCTTCATCCTGGAGTGTGTCCTGGAACGGTGTAAATGACAGTAAACAAGCTTCAACGTGCAACAACACGGATCTTTTGAAAAGGTACTGGACTCAATTTGACTACGATCACACAGTAATATCCTGACGGACCGTACATCTTCTAATGCACCACAAGGACCAAAGGATCTTCTCAGGCGTCAGTCAGAAATACATGTGAGGAATAAATGTTTAGTCCTCTTGGTTCTGTGAAGCCACCAAAGGCGTTGAGCAATCCCACCAACATGTGTGCAGGAGGAACGCTGTGTGGTGCTGCAGCCAGCGGGGATGCTGGATGCGGTTGCTGTGCTGCACTTGTGGTTTGGAAGAACTTGGGTTCACTACCTGCAGATCCCCACTGTGTGTATTTAGAAAAGCAGCCTGCTTTAAAATGAAAGAGTGGGGCGCTGAGGAGAGGACGTGGAGATGGATCAAAGGAAGGATCCTGCTGGAGACATTTGTAGAAAAGGTTCTCCTGTGTTGTCTCAGTGTTGTTCTTTGGGCCTCCTGCTGCTCTACTCCATGTTCTCCTCTCACACTGGGACCCATCTGTCCTGCAACAAACACCTGTAGGAGACACTGGATACCAACCAGAGGACACGTGCCTTTTCAGGAGCACAAGTTCTGTTTTCCAAGCTCTCATGTGACACTTGGATGACGGTGTGTTGCACTGAGACCTAAAGAAGTCAAGAAGAAGAAGAAAACCACAAACACGCCACGACAACCACGTCCATTTCTCACACACGGTTTATAGTTTTAGAGTGTGTCATTGGGGCCAATTCAGAGGGCGAGCTAAATGCTAAATGCTACTCAACCAAAGACACAAAGCGTGTTTCCATCCACCTGCGACACACACGCATGGAAAAGACCCGAGAGAAAATGATATGGACTCAGAAATAACGGTTGGCTGAGGTGGAGAGTCAAAGGAACTGATCATGTGACTTCAACATCCACTGAGGTTTGTGCTCTGCTCATGTCATCTCAAATAGTGGTGGATTCAAATGGCTCATCTCAAAGGACCTACTGCAAATCATTGCATGACGGTACTGGAGGGATAGAAACATACATGTGGAAGATTTCTTCACAGCTTGATTTGAATTTTAGGTGCAGTAACAAGTGGATGGAAACCATCATCAATCAATGACAAAGATAGTTGTTGTTATAGATTTATTCACCACATCTAGGCAGTGATCAACAACATTACCTGATATCATTCATAAATTCATTTATTTAGTTTCTTAATGCACTTATAAGCAGGATACCATTCTCAACAGGTTTTGTATTATTTCAACTGCAGTCTTTTCCCATCGCGACGTTTACTTTATACTGTTAACTAATTGTTTTGGAGGAAACAAATGAATTCAGAAATAGAAGCAGCTTGGTGTAATTTGACTCTAGAGAGAGAGAGCGAGCTGGGAGGAGACTGTCACAGAAAGGTTGTGGTGGCTGTTCTCTCTTTAGCTGACTGATCCTCCCCTGTCTTTAAAGCCTTTGCCAGAACACTGCAGCCCTCTCTGCATTGCTTATATTTTCCGTTTCCCATCCCAGCATAGTGCTCACGTTGGTATTTTCCGGCCTAACCTTGTGGTCTGTGGAACCATGTTTGTGCTTCAAAATGAACACAGGGAGAAAACGCACTACGCTGCTGACCATACGTTGCATGGCACAACATGGAAACTTGGAAAAGGCTTTTACAAGGTATTCCTATATCAAATGCGACAAGTCAAAGCTTCACGCAGCGTATTCATTAGTTCTCCAGAACAAAGGGAGTGGCCACTTTCATGGAGAGGGGGGTGCTCTCTAGCGTCGCCTGCCGCTAACAGTCTCCTCTGCCTCCCTGCCCAGGCCCGTCTCAGCACCACCGACCATCTGGGTCTTTGCAAGAGCCGGGCGTTGGGATGTGTCATCAATGCTAAGAAGGTGACAATCGATGGAGATACCAGATATAGGCCGACTTGGCTTGTCCGATCGGGGTCATGGCCGTATGAACTGACGTTGTATGTAGGAGAGAAAAGAAGTGACCCTCTTTTCGTGTCTATGACCCCCCTACGGTAATCTGACTGGCTATACCCTTCCAGGATAATGTTAGTCTAGCTAGGACTCTAACCGGCACTGTGAACTAGACCGGCCCTGAAGGAGAGCTGTCCAAGCCACTGAACGTTTTTTACCATTTTTCATGCTATTTCATTATCAAACGCACTTGATGATTTTAAAAGGCAAGAAACCAACTGTGATTTAAAATACAGGCAGTCCAACAAAAATGTAAGGCCACGAGAAATATCTGGGGAAAAATGTGTAGTTCTTCATAACTCCAGCAGACCCTGCAGACCTCCCTGTGGGACAGAGCCAGATGGCTGAGAGACAAGCCCAGACCCGCCCAGGACATGTTGGAGAACCAAAGGGAGAGCTGGAGCCAATGGACGACTGCCTACTATTGTTTGTCCTCTAGTGCCAACGCACTCCTGATGGGGGCCTGGCCCCCCCCTCCCTCTCTAACTATCAATACCTCTCAGTCGGGTCAGAGCAGAGACAGTTTATCACATCTCTATTGTCATGAAGAATAACTTGACACAAGCAGAGTACCTTGTTTTGTCTAACCGAACAACAGGGTACAGTTTTACATAGGTTAGGTTGGCTATCCACAAGTGTCGGCGTAGAAGGGACATTTCCATTCAAATCCACGTAGCAACATGGTCTGAGCCCATTTCATGTGTACCATTGCCAGTGTGACCGTTGTACGCTTACTTCCACACAACTCAACAGACTTGTAGCAAGTGGTGGACTCACTGAGGTGAGGTTTGCTATGAGGTTTAAAACGAGCAGCTTTCGAACGTTCTGCAGACCAAACGAGTCTGAGACAGTCAGTGCACAGCAATAACTATATTTTATATATTTAACTAACCAGCCAGGTCTCTGAGAAGACGTGGGCACCGACCTCCTGTTGCCGGGGGCGCCCGAGTTGTCCTGTGACTGGATATTAGCCAGGAGCCGGCTGGCAGGGGGAGTCTGCTAAAGGACTCATTTGAAGTGATTGTATTTTATTTTGACCATTGGTCAAAGACATTATCAATGAAAGGTTTGGTCAGTTGGAAAGGTCAGCCTCATGGGGGCGGAATAAAAAGTCTTGAGGCCATTTTTGAAATTCTTGTTTTTTGCAAGGTTGGACTGGACCAAGGTAGACGGCTGTCCTACGCAGTGATGTTGCTGTGGTCACTGTGGAGTGCGATATTGCTGCTGGTCCCCCTTGAAGCTGCAGAGGAGGACAATGTCCGAGCAGGTAGAATTCACTTATTATTACGCGTTAGACACTCAACTCTTGAGTCTGAAATGTTGATCATCTGTCCCTGCATTGTTAAGATGTGTCTTTGATTACACTGTGTGTGTGTGTGTGTGTGTGTGTGTGTGTGTGTGTGTGTAGGCAAGTTTGCCGTGAACCACGTCTTCGCCTCCTCCAACAGAGCCAGCCAGGTCAAAAATCGCATTGCCGTCGTGGTCACTGATGGCAAATCTCAGGACGACGTGGTAAATGTCCCATTGCTGCGTTCAGGTGCCTCAGTGAAACCAAGTCATGGTTCTTTGGGTGACCCATATTTGGAAGCCATGGAACCTCAACGAGGGAGCAGCTCCCAGCATGTTGGGGAAAGCTGTAATATTGTTAATATTACATCTCTGTCACTGTTCTTCCAGCATCCACTCTACGATCTAAATGGAAAGCATCTCCACCATTCACTGCTGCCTGTGTCTCCTTAGGTGGATGCCAGTGTGGAGGCCCGAGCTCAGGGCATTACAGTGTTTGCTGTTGGAGTCGGCAGTGAGATCACCACCTCAGAGCTGGTATCCATCGCCAACAGGCCGTCATCTGCCTAAGTCCTGTACGCCGAAGATTACACCACCATTGACCTCATTCAAGGTTCCATGGAGCAGAAGCTCTGTGAAGGTTGATATCTAGTCCCTCTCTGTACTTGACATGTCTATAAGGACTCTTCTCAATTCTCTGTGTTACAAGTTCACGCCTTTCTTCAAACAATAACCTTGATGTGACTTGACAGATACAATCCATCATGCAGGTTGAAGTTGAGTCAATGAGTTTAGTCATAAGGGACTTGAGGAGCGCTGGGTACCTGGTAGTTCCTCCCACTTCCCATTACACTACACTGCTATGCGTGTGTTAATTCCTTTAACAAGCACTTAATCATGTACCTCGTCCGCTTGCATTAGGTCAACATGTTCTAAGTTCTCACTGACTTGAGGGAAGAGCAGAGGGAAGCAGAGAGTAGCTGCAGACATTGTGTCCCCATGTAGGAGAAGCAGGACTTGACATCAATAAGGGCTTCATCTTCTTGCTTTCACTGGACGTTCCACGTTTGCGTCATGGGTTGAGCTCAGGCTTTGGCGTGAGGTTTGCGTAGCTGACCGAATGACCTCTCTTCTTTCTAGAGTCTGTTTGTCCAACACGAATCCCGGTGGCCTCTCGGGATGAGAAAGGCTTTGAGCTGCTGCTGGGCATGAACATTCAGAAGAAGGCCAAGAAGATCCCTGGCTCTTTGATTTTGGAGGCCGCTTACGCTCGGACGGCCTCCACCGACATTACTGAGGACACCAGGTAGAATTTACAAATCCATCTGTTTACTCCATCAACTGTTGTGTGTATTTAGTATGTCGGCCTCTTCCTCGTACCAGGGACATCTTCCCAGAAGGCCTCCCTCCTTCCTACGTGTTGATAGCCACCCTGCGTCTAAAGGGGACTTCTAGCCGGCTGACCTTTGACCTTTGGAGGGTGCTGTCCGAGGATAAGGAGATACAGGTCACAGTGACACTGAGTGGAAAGGACAAAAGTGTCGTCTTTACCACCACTAGCTTAACTGCAGAGGAGCAGAGAGTCACCTTCAGAGGCGTCCAGGTTGGTGTCGGGTGGAGTTTATAAATACGACAAAATACCAGAAACACAAAACATGTTACTGAACGATGAAGTAATAAAGTATTGTAATATCCGTTGCATGTCATTTTTTTATTTTATGTCAACG